CTTTGTCCCAGTTCAGTGGCTTTCTTGGGGCACGTGGCGTCCAGTGAAGGTATTCAGGTTGATCCAAAGAAGATAGAGGCGGTTCAGAGTTGGCCCAGACCGTCCTCAGCTACAGAGATTCGCAGTTTTCTCGGTTTGGCAGGTTAGTACCGCCAGTTTGTTTAGGGATTTTCATCTATCGCATTGCCCTTGACTAAGTTGACTCAGAAGGGTGCTTTATTCAGGTGGTCGGATGAGTGTGAAGAGAGCTTTCAGAAGCTCAAGACTACCGTGACCACAGCTCCAGTATTAGTGTTGCCATCAGCTTCAAGTTCTTATACCCTATATTGTGATGCTTCGAGAGTTTGTATTGGGTGTGTGTTGATGCAGGAGGGTAGAGTTATTGGTTATACTTCTCGTCAGTTGAAACCCCATGAGAAGAACTACCCTGTTCATGATTTGGAGTTGGCTGCCATTGTCCACGCGTTGAAGATTTGGAGGCATTACTTGTATGGTGTGTCTTGTGAGGTTTTTACCGATCATCGTAGCCTCCAGCACTTGTTCAAGCAGAAGGATCTCAATTTGAGGCAGCGGAGATGGTTGGAATTGCTAAAGGATTATGATATTACTATCTTGTACCATCCGGGGAAGGCCAATGTGGTGGCCGATGCGTTGAGACGAAAGGCAGTGAGTATGGGGAGTTTGGCATATATTCCAGTTGGGGAGAGACCTCTTGCAGTGGATGTTCAGGCCTTGGCCAATCGGTTCGAAAGGTTGGATATTTCGGAGCCCAGTCGGGTATTGGCTTGTGTGATTTCTCGGTCTTCTTTATTTGATCCCATCAGAGAGCGCCAGTATGATGATCCTTATTTGCTTGTCCTTAGGGACAGAGTTCAGCACGATGATGCCAGAGATATGATCATTGGTGATGATGGGGTGTTGTGGATGCAGGGCCGGATATGTGTGCCCAATGTAGATGGGCTTCGGGAGTTAATTCTGGAGGAGGCCCATATCTCGCATTACTCCATTCATCCGGGTGCTGCGAAGATGTATCAGGATCTGAGACAGCACTATTGGTGGCGGAGAATGAAGAAGGACATTGTGGGATCTGTGGCTCGGTGTCTCAATTGTCAGTAGGTGAAATATGAGCATCAGAGACCGGGTGGCTTGCTTCAGCGGATGGATATTCCAGAGTGGAAGTGGGAGCGGATCACCATGGACTTTGTAGTTGGGCTTCCACGGACTTTGAAGAAGTTCGATGCTATTTGGGTGATTGTGGATCGGCTGACCAAGTCTGCGCACTTCATTCCTGTGTGTACTACTTATTTTTCAGAGCAGTTGGTAGAGATCTATATCCGGGAGATTGTTTGTTTGCATGGTGTCCCGATTTCCATCATTTCAGATAGGGGCACTCAGTTTACTTCACAGTTTTGGAGGTTTGTACAGCGAGAGTTGGGTACTCAGGTTGAGTTGAGCACAACTTTTCACCCTCAGACAGACGGGCAGTCCGAGCGCACTATTCAGATATTGGAGGACATATTGCGCGCTTGTGTCATTGATTTTGGAGGGTCACGGGATCAGTTTCTACCGCTCGCAGAGTTTGCTTATAACAACAGTTACCAGTCGAGTATTCAGATGGCTCCATATGAGGCTTTGTATGGGAGGCGGTGTAGATCTCCAGTGGGTTGGTTTGAGCCGGGTAAGGCTAGACTATTGGGTACAGACTTGGTGCAGGCTGCTTTAGACAAGGTGAAGGTGATTTAGGAGAGGCTTCATACAGCGCAGTCGAGACAAAAGAGTTATGCTGACAGGAAGGTTCGGGATGTGTCCTACATGGTTGGTGAGAAGGTTCTGTTGAAGGTTTCATCCATGAAGAGTGTTATGAGATTTGGGAAGAAAGGTAAATTGAGTCCTCGGTTCATTGGGCCTTTTGAGGTGCTCCGGAGGATTGGGGAGGTGGCTTATGAGCTTGCATTGCCACCCAGCCTATCTAGTGTGCATCCGGTATTTCATGTTTCTATGCTCCGGAAGTATATTGGGGATCCGTCTCATGTTTTGGACTTCAGCACGGTTCAGTTAGATGATGATTTGACGTATGATGTGGAGCCAGTAGCTATTTTTGAGCGGCAAGTTCGAAAGTTGAGGTCAAAGGGTATAGCTTCAGTGAAAGTGCAGTGGAGAGGTCGGCCCGTGGAGGAGGCTACCTGGGAGACCGAGCGGGAGATGCGGAGCAGATATCCTCACCTATTCGAGGCTTCAGGTATGTTTCTTGACTCGTTCGAGGACGAACGTTTGTTTAAAAGGGGGAGGATGTAACGACTCGGCCGGTCGTTTCATGAGTTACAGCTCTGTTTTCACCATTTCTGCTTCTTATTGTCTTGTTCAGCTGTATTATGTGTTATCGGGTTGGTTGGCTCGGGTTCGGAGAAGTTTTGGTAAAGTTTGAGACACTTAGTCTCTTTTGAGAAAGCTTAAGTTGGAAAAGCCAACCGGATGTTGACTTATGTGAAATAGGGCTCGGATGTAAATTCCGATGATTTGGATAGCTTCGGGAGGTGATCGGAACGTGTTTTGGAGGTCCGGAGTAGATTTAGGCCTGAATTGGCGAAATTTGAATTTTTGGCGTTTTCCGGTTGATAGATGAGATTTTAATATAGGGGTTGGAATGGAATTCCGGGAGTTGCAGTAGGTCCGTTGTGTCATTTGGGATGTGTGTGCAAAATTTCAGGTCATTCGGACGTGGGTTGGTAGACTTTTTGATCAAAAGCGGAATTCAGAAGTTTTAGAATTCGTAGGCTTGAATTCGATGTGTTTTGGTTGTTTCGATGTTGTTTGAGGTGTTTTGAAGATTGGTATAAGTTTGGATGGTGGTATATGACTTGTTTGCGCTTTTGGTTGGGGTCCCGGAGGCCTCGGGGTAATTTTGGATGGTTGTCGGAAAGTTAAGAGTTGGGAGTTTGCAGCTGAAGTTCTAGGACTGCTGTCATAACCGCATCTGCGGTTGAGAGGGCGCAGGTGCGACTCTCGCAGATGCGGAAAGCAAGTCGCAGAAGCGGAATGGACCATGGGGAGCTGGAACCGCAGAAGCGGCTAGGTGAGCGCACCTGCGGTAGCGCAAGTGCGGGTGTCTTATCGCAGATGCGAAACTTGGGTTCTTAAGTGAAAACCACAGAAGCAGTTGCTGGACCGCAGAAGCGGTGTCGCAGGAGCGTGATTTGGACCGCAGGTGCGAAAAACCTGGGCCAAAAGGTATAAAAGAATTCCTTCGCGATTTTTGAGTTATTCTTCACCATTTGCATGCGGGTTTGAGCTTGGGGGAGCTATTTGAAGAGGGATTTCATAGAGGTAAGGTTTTTGGACCCTAAATTCGTTTCTATGGTGTTATTTCACTGATTTGGCTTGAAAATTTAATGGAAATTAAGAGTGAAAAATTGGGAAACTAGGGCTTAAGATTTGAGACCTTTGAGCAAGGGTTTGAGGGGTCATTTGTGGTCGGATTTTAATACTTTTGATATGTATGAACTCGTGGGGAGATAAAAGAGTCTATTGATGTAAATTTTATCGAATTCCGAGACGTGGGCCCGGGGGTCGGGTTGGACCAATTTCGGGATATTTGGTATAATTTGATTATTTTCGCATGGGCTTCGTTCCCTTAGCTTATTCTAATGTTATGATTCTGATTTTAGGTAGATTCGATGCGAGTTGAGGCCGAGGCGAGAGGCAAAGGCATCGCGGAGTAGTATTTCATCCGGTTTGAGGTAAGTAACCATTGTAAATCTGGAACTGAGGGTATAAAACTCCGGTATTTCATATTGGTTTGATGAATGAGGTGACGCACATGCTAGGTGACGAGCGTGTGGGCGTGCACCAGTAGGGACTGTGACTTGGTCCGTCCCATAATGACTATTAAGCCGCGTACTTGATCTGAAATCTTATGATATCACGTATTTTAGAGATTGATACTATATTATGGGGTGTATGCCATGTTTGGGGCCTTGTGCCGACCTGCTGAGACCCTTAAGGGCATTTTTACTGTTTTTCCTCACTCTATTTGTTTGAAAGCATATCCTTAGTCATGTTTTACCCGCTTATTGCTTAAACCTGGTTTTTATCACTCTGTTTCTTAAAATATGCAAACTGTTTGGGCTGAGTTTCCCTGATTTCCGTTGTTATGCACGATGTGAGGTTAATGACTGAGAGAGGTTGAGGACCTAATCGTGAGGATTATATATCGGGTTGCACGCTGCAGCAATATTTTATGTATATATTATGGATCGGCCTGCACGCCGCAGCGATACTTATATGGATCGGGCTGCACACCGCAGCGATATATATATTGGATCGGGCTGCGCGCCGCAACGATATGACGGTTGGGCTGTAGGAGCCCCTCCGGAGTTTGTACACCCCCAGTGAGCGTTGTCGACTATAAACTATGGATCGGGCTGCACGCCAAAGCAATTATTATGATTATTACTATTATGAGATATTATTGAGCCTGAGTGCTGAGTATGAGATATCATAAGTTTGACAAATTAAAATTGTGAGTCGTTTAACCTATTAATTAGTGAATGAACTCTGAGTTTGAAGTTGAATGTATAGTCATATCAATCACTAGTAGATATTTGGACTACAATTCGAAGCTAATTAACATGAGTACTGGGCATCCAACTTTTGGCCTTGTATTTTTCCCTTGAGTCGATTAATCTGTTATATAATGCTTAATTTGCAATGGTCTTGTATTTCTCCACTATTTATATTAATAACTAAAAGAGAATTATATTTGTAGACGATTCAGCTTTATTGTTAGTCCGAAAATATGATGAAACAGAAACCACCTAAGTTTCTATACTATCATTTTTATATATGCCTTCATTTTCCTTTAGGAAAAAAAAGAAAATAAAGTATTTTCTTTTTTTTTAGCAAACAGGAAATATATATATTAATAGCTAAGGAACATGCAGTACATGACTTTCATAGTTTGTGTCACATAGGACACTTTGGTTACCTAGGCTTGCTAAATTTTAGCAAGCATCATAAGATAGGAATTTTCCAAAAACATATTGTTCTAGTAAGTCACTTTCCACGAAACATTTTACATCATATGGTGGTTCCACAAAAACTTTCTTCTCCTTCATTAGATCAGCAGTTGCCTTCTTTGCCATTTGATGAGCTACCCTATTCCCTTGCCTGAACTCGTGCTGGATGGTTACCTCCCTCTGCTGGTGCATTAACAACCTGTATTAATTGTCGACAATGTTAGCATAAAGTCTATTACATTGTTGGATTGATAGGATTATAATGAGCTGTTTCTATTTGGAGAGGGAACATTTCCCAAATATGAGCTGTTTTAAGTCCCACTAGGAGTGCTTTGATTTCAGCATGTAATGATCCACGAGCATGAGCTGGTTTTGCAAGGCCAATTATCCAATGCCCATTGGCATTTCTGATTACACTACCCAGTCCACATTTTTGAGTGTTTTTATTGAAGCTAGCATCTATGTTTAATTTGAACCATCCCTTTGGAGGTCTATGCAATTTAATATTGATGTGGATTTTTGGAGAAGTGAGTATACTTTTTTCAGTTAGAAGAAGAAATTCAGTGGTCCTAGCAATAATATGGTTAATATTGATAGGGTTTTCCGTATCATTTTGGTTGTTATTATTCCTATTTAACCAAATGTGCCAGATAGCAAAAGAAAAAAAGAGATTCCAATTTATGAAGTTGTTTTTATTCAGGTAGTCAAAACTTTTTAGCCGAATGAACCAGTGATCACCCTGCTCCTTATAGAAGTTTTGCCATCCAATACTGTCCCAAAAATATTTAATGACTTTGCAGTTAAAGAAAATGTGGATTATGGATTCTTCTTCATGACATTTGCATATAGGGCATGCTGGGTCAATATTTAAATCGATTTTTGCTAGGTCAAAAATAAAGTATTTCACTTAAGGGAAAAAAACTACCTAAGTTTCTTAACGATATAGATATCATAATATCATAAGATAACAAATAGAATAGAGACGGCCATATGATACACTGCAATGTTAACCATGCACAAAACTTTAATTTATGAAGGAGATAAAACTAAATAGTTAAACTTAACTTTATATATATATATATATATATATATATATAATATAGATATATATATATTATATATATATATATATAGTTCCATCAAAGTCGACAACCCATACTAAACAACTAAAACTAAGTTTCTCTAAACTATAGAATTGAAAACTATAAATTTCTAGAGAGCTAATGAACTACTAAAATTACCACTAAATCTTAAGGTCCAAAGCCATTAAATGCCTGGAAAAGAATTAATATTGTGATATTCCAATGGCAACAAGCAATTTTCTTGCCAACTCGGAAAATCCCATTGAACATCATTCATATAATCAGAGGTAAAATCGTTCCACGTAAAATTTTCTTGTGCCATGTTAAAGTTTGCTTCATCATGCAAAGGATAAGCATAATCAACGTTCAACTTGGCGAATTTCTTAATAGAAGAATCAACAAGGATATCTGAGGAATTATCAGAGATATCGAGCAATTGAACATTTTCTTCAAATGTTGTATCAGTTCCAATTGAATCTGTTGTTCCTTCATAGTCACAGTCCATACCAACTTGATCATTGATACTAAGAGGAGAGTTCAGTTCTCTTCCAATGGTTTTTAATGACTTATCAACTTTTTGATAAATTCTGCATAAGACCCAACTGTCGAGCTGAAAAAATGACAAAGGAAAAGATAACACCATAGGGAAAAGTTTAATATAGAAACAAATTCAAGAACGTAGTGTATGAAAACGCCAATTCTACAAGAATTATGGATCACAAATAGGGATGGCAATGGGGCGGAGTGGGTGCGGGGCAGGTTTCAGCATTCGCCGGGTTACAGTGTTTGCGGGGGCGGGGCAGATTTCAGCATTCACGGGGCAGGGAGGGTTACAGTGTTTGCGGGGGCAGGGTGGGTCGCGGGTCAATATTTTAATTTTTTGAACTAAAAACCTAAAAGGCTAAAACGTTACCAGCCACACTAATTTCTCAGATTGCAGAACTGTTATTTTGTATGAAAGACAAAAGATTTTGAAAGAAAAGGCTGGACGTATTGGATAGACGATAGTTATAAACTTCATAGATAAATATTTATGAGTGTTCTATGAGTAAAAGACTAACTTTTTAGATCAAAAAAGAAAAACTACTCCTATTTCATATTTATTCTTCACTGAACAAATTTTTTTTATACTCCAAAGTAGAAAAATTATAAAAATAAATAAATAAATATATATGCGGGGCGGGTTTGCACATGGCGGTTTAAAAACAGCAAATTATACTTTGTGGGGTGAGGCGAGTTAAAACCTTAGCGGGTTTACACGGGTTTGCCCCGCAACCACACCTCCCGCATCATTTATCATCTCTAATCACAAAAGTGGGGTCGAACTCATATATCAAAGTAATTAATAGAATACTGAACTTACCCTCCAGGTATTTCCGTCTTTTCTCTCAACACGAGATTCGTTCACTCTATATTCATGCATAATCCAGTTGGTTTTTTTTCCTTTCTGACGTTTACCATGGTAGAAAACCAAAGCTTTTCTGAACCCAACTATTGAACCATTGTGGTTTATAGGTCTGTCTGCTCCAGTAGCCTTCCAGTAGCCTGTTCCAGCAGCTCGGTTTGGCCTCGTTCCATTTATATATTTTTTATCCCTTGGAGTGAAAAAATACCATTCCTTTTCTCCAACCACAGGATATGTCTCTATTTGCATTTATAGTAAAAAAAAAAAAAAGTATTATTATCAATGAATCAAGAAATTAAACATGTATTTAGTGATGTAACCTTAAATAAGTAAGAAAATTCTCAAATCCCGTAGAGCTCGTTTGGTATGAGAGACAAGGAATAATTAATCCCGGGACTAAATTTAAGAAGAGTTTATCCATGTTTGGTTCAGAGAAAATTATGGTATAATAAATTCCGGGATTGTAGTGTATTTTTATCCCCATGGAAAGGTGGAATAACTAATCCCCGGATAATTAATTCTGGAATAACATCTTTCCAACCAGACGACCCCTTAAAGTGTTTCACCAATCAAGAATAGGTTTCTATTTGCATTCTTAGTAAAGTAGAAGGGAAATAGTAGCAATATTAAGGAATCAAGAAAAATGTCTTTAATGGTGTAAGTAACATTAAATAGTTCAGTAAATTCTTAAATAAAAAATGCATTAATCAAGATAATTACTTTAGGTTTTCAGTATGACAGTGTCTATTAACCTAAAATTGATTTGAAATGGATATATGAAAACCTAAAATACTTATCTTTGTTCAATATTCTCTTTTCTTTATTGGGGTTTTCTCTTCTATTTTTTTTTCCAGAATAGCAATGTCTAGTGAATTAAAAGAGCAGGAAAAAAAAAACTAACGATTAATCAATATTGTATATACAAACTACAGAAGAAACTCTTTATACTTAAATTAAGCTATACTCCAAAGTTTCATCTATCAAACAAATTAAAACAATAAAAATGACATAGAAAGTCAAAAAAAGATACATCAAGAGCATAAAATATGTTACCAAATTGTGAACTATATGCAGAGGTAAATAAGGGATATACATATCCAGGGTTAATTCAACTTGATGAATTTAACCTTTAAAATTGCACTTTGACACATAGATTCAGAATTTAACATCTATTAAAGTTTTAGTGATTTTTGAGATATATTTCTACGTTCCATGTCTGAAATATTAGATTCAGTTGAAACTATTAACAATAAAGACCATCAACCTTTCGTAAAAAACCAGAATAAAAACCTGAAAGTTGTTGAGGACTATGCATGCAAAGGTTGACTTCCTTGATTTCATTAGAAGGTAAAGGTTCATTCATGACTTTCTTCTTGAGATAATGAACGATGAGTTCATCGTCGCGGGGACAAAAGCGATAGCCCGGTGGAAAATCCAAAGAATCATAGACGTCTACCTGCAAAACACGTACACAGAAACTAGTATTACACGACGAACAAATATATGCATGATTTTATTATATTGTCAAGAACTTCTTTATTGTTCTTGCTCTTGTTTTTTCAATATTAGGGTTTTGATCAGTCCTAGAAGAATTAACATGCCTTGAAATTCGCCTGAATTTGCTTATCAGACTCCATTGTTTTGCTTGAGAAGGACACTCGGAAAGAGTCCAAATTGAAATATATGATCAGGTTTTGTTTCAACAAATTGATTATATAAAGATTTGGGTTAATCTAATATAAAATGTAATCCTATCATATCTAAACTACCTGATATGAAATCATTATTTTAAGCGGTCAGGTTAATGGTAAATTTGGTTTTAACTATGTAAAAATGAATTTTAATGATTAAATAATTAGAAAAAGGAGTTTTCAACGAGAAATAATATTTTTTTCACTTTTGATACGTCTTAATAAAGAAAGAATATTTCATGTGGTATGCTTAAAACTTTTTTTTTTAAGAGTAGACTAAAAAAATATTGATCTCATACTAGTGTCTTTTTCAGGTGGCTAATAGTGAATTTTTCTTAGTACTTGTACATGTGTTCTTTTTTTTTTTTCCCACTTGGAACGATGGATGTCTTCCATAACAGTTTTAGATCGGTTATGTATCCAAAACAGGTTTTAGATTGGTTATATATCCATAACAGGTTTTGGATTGGTTTTGTAACAACGAAATATTTCTATAAATAGGTTCACTGATGAACCTATTCGATACTCTGAAACGAAGAAATATATCCTCTCTTCTAATGTTGTCATTCTCTTCTATTATTAGTCCTAGTTAATTACATAGTTCTTGCTATATTGCTTTTATTTTATAACACGTTATCAGCACGAGGATCTAATCCTTTCCATTACCATTTTAAGGTTTATTTTCATATATCCTCCAGGTATGTCTTAATACAGGTTACATATTTTATATTAATTCAAGTTCTTATAGTAGTTGTTATGTCGTCGCAGAAAAGAAATTAATAGACGTAAAATAATTATGTAGTAATTCATTATTCACATGTATATCAGAAAGCATTTGGTTAGAGATATTGTAAAAATTCGCCATGATTTTTAATTGGTAGAAATACTCGTTAACTCCTCTTAACTGAAGATGACCTTAGTAATTTTATTTAACCAATTTCTTTTAGATTTATATTCAGATATAATACTTTTTTTAAAAGGAAATATTTATGTGTAATTGAAATGACTTGATCAAGTGTTTTGGTTCATTCAATAAGTACTGGACATACATATGTTTCTCACTAGTCATGGAAATTTAACTTGCTACTAATATATTGTGAAAATACTTAGAGTTCCCCAGTAAAATTTTATTTATGTATTCTATAATATTTGTCATATACCATCTTAATTTATTACAAGTTATTTGCTGTAAATTTAAAGCCTATAAATATACTAATAATTCTGAAGATGGCTCTCTCATTTAAAGAAGAGAATTTTAAGATTCATTTTATTTGGAAGATGAGAGGATAAATAGTAGCTGGCTGATGTGAATGCTTAGTTATACGATTTATTTGTCAATGAATCATAATGATCTCTTAATCAATTTCTGCATGGTTGTTACTACTTTGCTGATGGTTTACCAGTACCTAACATTTATCAACCAATAGTTAATTATTTGTATTAGAAGGTATACTTGAACTATATTCAGTTTCATGATATACACGACTAGCAGAAGTGATTATATTCTTATAACTAATTTTGTTTTTTCTTATGACCACAAGAGTGATAATTGATATTTTCATAAATGGTCGGGGGTAAGTCCCACGACACTCTGAGAATAATGCATCAAGTTCATGTGCACCGTAATAATAAGAGGGTTCGAGTCCGGATGATTAAGGCATAATATGCATTTATGAAGGTAAGACATTGGTTCCCAATGCATCATATTGATGATGATTTTGAAAAATATAATATAATTATCGTGGCCATATGAATTGGCGTGGTCGTGGCAAGAAACGAAATAATAATCGTCATCATGGTAGTAATTATAAAAAGGAGAACAATAAGGGTTCTCAATATATCCTTCAAAAGGTAAAGGCAATGTCTACCATCAAATTGGTATGGAAAATAATAAATCACGTCGCAATGATTATACTCCATTCCCTGAAGAGAATGTGACTTGTGATAAACATTTAGAATGCAGACTCATTCTTGAAGGTGAATGTAGCAATATGTGTGTAATGAACAAAGACGTGTTGGATACATACCACAACTCACCCTTAAGGGAGGTTTAAGAGGAAGAAAGATAATAAATATTACTGTGTGGTTACATGAATATGTCATTGGTCGCGTACATGTGGTACGTCAAAAATATATATTGGCGTGTCTTATAAAAGGTTATTAAAGGCAAAATGCAAGCAAAAAATAATTTTGCTTATGATGACTTTGACCATGACACTTTATTATAATATAACTTTCTTTATGAAAGAGACATTCACCATATGAATGGTGTGACAAAAGATCTTGTAGTACAAATCAATTAAGAGCTCCGGAGGAACTAATTTATTATTACCCAGATGAATAAAATTATTCATGACATTGATATTGTAGTAAGTCTCAAAAGAAACTTTTTGAGTTTCAAATGTATAAGCCAAAGTGGTTGGCATATTGAGACTATAAATGAAAGGAAGGTTGAATATATTCATATTACTATAATCATACCGGGTAAATATAAAAGGTTATCCGACTTTCCTTCTATTTGTACTACACAAGTATAAGTATGATGATGCAATCACATAAACTCGAGGTTTACTGAAACAAATATTAGTTGGCATGACTGGTAGGCCATCCCAGTTCAATTATGATGCGCAAGTGATTGGTAATTCACATTGACATATATTGAAGAAATAGAAGATTCTTCAAGAATTCTCTTGTGCTGCTTATTCCCATGATATACCAGCTAAGGTAGGGACTGAATCCCTTGATTTCTGGAACGAATAAAAGGTGATATATGTATATATGGGCCCAGTCACCTGCCATGTGGACTATTTACTATTATATGATTTTAATAGATGCATCTATTCTATAGTCACATGTGCGTTTGTTATCAACTTGCAGTTTGGCTTTTGCAAGGTTGCTTGCTCAAATTATTAGAGCACAATTCCAGAACGTAAATTATGATGATTTATCTTGATAATGCTGGTTTAAATCCATGTTGGTTTAGCAGAAATTATATGCCTCCAACTATAGCTAACTAATTGGTTATGAGAACAAAACTCCCAAAAATAAAATTTGGTATGAGATGTATTATTTAATATATAGCAGCACTTGTACGCATCTAGCAAACAAATTATTGATAAATTCTCTCTATCACAATTGGTTCAGGGTCAGGAACCAAATAAACTTCATCTAGAAATATAAATGTGTTATATGATTTAATTGCTCCACCATAACGCATAAAGATGAGTCTCTAAATAATGACGGAGATATGTTTTGGTGATCCAACATTAGGGGGAGAAAATGGGCAGCTGAAATAAATATTATATGAAATGAATTATTATAAGTACATCTAGATCCTCACACAAGAAAATATGAACTTGAAGTTCAAGTGATAATACATTTGAAAAATATTGCTAGGCACATTTGTTGACCCAAAGCTAAATATCATATTTCAGCTGCTAGTGCTCCAAAAAAAATAAAAGGATAAAGTCCATGAAGGATAGAGTCTATGGCGCACATGAAGCATAATTGACTAATCGGTTTCAAAAATAGAATTCCTTGAAGAAAGAGAGGAGCAAATGATCAAGATGGTCATAATAAGGAGGCAAGTGCTCTATAAGAGCACCGCGACATAACACTTTATAAGACCTCATAAAAGAGGCTCAGGTACCTGAAAATAATAAGATCTCGATAAGTTATGTCTTTATTGAGTGATGATGAAACCGATATAAAATGATCATCGATGATATTATTGATAGAATGTAGCGCTCAATATTATTAATATTGACGAGGATCTTGAGCTCAAATCTGTCATTGAATGTGGACAAATAAATGATTGGCCAAAATAAAAAATATGCAATCAAGATTGACTTCACCTGAAAAATGCGAAATTGGATGCAATTACATTCGGGTATCTTATCAGTCTAGCAATTCATGAAAAACTTGATATGCATCTTATGGATGTTGTCACGGCCTATTTATATGGCTCACTGGACAACGAAATTTTTATGAAAATCCCTGAAGGATTCAAAGTACCTGAAACATACAAAGATTCCAGGAAAACTTGTTCGATAAAGCTTCGGAAATCCTTGAATGGATTGAAGTGATCAGGGCGCATGTGGTATAATCTCCTCAACGAATACCTATTAAAAGAAGGGTACAAGAATGACACAATTTGTCCTTTTGTCTTTATAGAAAGATCTGGATCTGAATTTGTCATAATAGTTGTGTATGTTGATGACTTGAATATCATTGGAACTCCTAAAGAGCTTCCAAAGGCCTAAGAATGCTTGAAGAAAGAATTTGAAATGAAAAATCTTGGAAAGACAAAGTTTTGTCTTGTCTTACAAATTGAGCATTTGAAAAATGGAATATTTGTCCATCAATCAACGTACACCGAAAATATTTTGAAGCGCTTTTATATGGATAAAGCACATCCATTGAGTACCCCGATGGTTGTGAGATCGTTTGATATAAATAAAGATCCATTTCGTCCTCATGAAAATAATGAAGAACTTCTAGGTACTGAAATACCATATCTTAGTGGAATTGGGGAATTAATGTACCTTGCTAATAATTCTAGACCAGATATAGCTTTTTCTGTAAGCTTGTTAGCAAGATTTACTTCTTCCCCAACACAAAGACACTGGAATGGTATTAAGCATCTATTATATCTGCGAGGGACCATTAATATAGGATTATTTTATTCAAATGAATCTAGGTCACAATTGATAGGTTAAGCAGATGCAGGATATTTGCCTGACCCACATAAAGGTCAATCTCAAACAGGCTATTTATTTACATGTAGAGGTACTGCAATATCATGGCGTTCAACAAAACAAACTATGGTTGCTACTTCTTCAAATCATGCAGAGATAATAGCCATTCATGAAGCGAGTCGAGAATGCGTTTGGTTGAGATCAATAACTCAACATATCCAGGAGCTATGTGGTCTTTCATGGGGAAAGGATATCCCAATAACATTATATGAAGACAATGCTGCATGTATAGCTCAACTAAAAGGGGGATATATTAAAGGAGACAGAACAAAGTATATTTCACCAAAATTCTTTTTCACGCATGATCGTCAAAAGAATGGTGAATTAGATGTTCAACAAATTCGTTCAAGTGATAATTTGGCATATTTGTTCCCTAAGGCATTGCCGACATCAACATTTGAGAAGTTAAGATACAAGATTGAAATGTGTCATCTCCGAGATATCAAATAAGGTTTTTTTTTCAGGGGGAGAAATACGCATTGTACTCTTTTTCCCTTAAACCAAGGTTTTGTCCCATTTGGGTTTTCCTGGTAAGGTTTTTAATGAGGCAACTCTTAATGCGTATTACAAGATATGTGTACTCTTTTTTCTTCGTTAAGATTTTTCCCACTGGGTTTTTCTTAGTAAGGTTTTAATGAGGCACATTATCTATTAGTGGACATCCAAGGGGGGGTGTTATAAATCCTGCAAATGGATCCATCCACTTGCAACGATGGATGTCTTCCATAACAGGTTTTGGATTGGTTATGTATCCATAACAGGTTTCAGATTGGTTATGTATCCATAACAGGTTTTAGATTGGTTATGTATTCATAACAGGTTTTGGATTGGTTTTGTAACAACGAAATGTTTCTATACATAGGTTCACCGATGAACCTATTCCATACTCTGAAACGAAGAAATAAATCCTCTCTTCTAATGTTATCCTTCTCTTCTATTATTAGTCCTAGTTAATTACATAGTTCTTATTATATTGCTTTTATTTCATAACAGGTTCAAGTAGTTTTCACATCTTCTCTTCATATTTTCTCCCCTCTATAAATTAGCCACATGTGACTGCATTAATAAATCACGTTTTAAGTGGGTTATACTCTGCAGCATAAGTAAGAATTTAATAGGTTCAACTCAATTCAGGTATAAATTTATGTGTAAAAAATTATTAAAACTACAATAAATAGTAGATATGAATTTATGTGTAAAAAACTATTAAAATTATAATAAATAGTAAATATAAACTTATAATTTTAAATATACTAACCTTAAATGCTTAACCCATAGAGTTGCCTCTACTCAGGCCACTTTATAGTTCGAGAGAAATAAGTATTCAATTTGAATTTTATAAAGTCACATATCTACACATTAAGTTTGTCATGAAAAAGTAGTGATGTAATAATATAAGGATATTTTGCCTTTGTTGATTCAAGATATTGAAGGCGCGTTTGAATTTGGACAACTTAAAAGTAATTTGGGGTCCAATGTCATAATTGTAAGGATGAGATCGTACAGTTCACTTAGAACCTTTTTAGCCATAGATTTTTTCAAAATAAATTTGAGTTTTATCATGCAAACACATGTTTGGCCATAGATTTTGTTTATATTTTGGCAAAATTTTAAATCCCAAAACCAGTTATATTTTTTAAAAATTGCCCCAAAGTTTTGTATTGTATAAAAGAACCCACCATTTATCATTTTGTAACAATGTTGCTTTGTCTTCTCGGTAGTGTATCATATAGTTCATTATAAAAATGATAATTTTGCATCAAATTTATTTATGTTCAGGACGATGGTTTGTAATAATATAATGAATGTTATTGATAATGGTACTGTTAGGTATTTGTGATAGTTTTTAGAACTTGTGAGTATAAGTCATGTTTCATGTTTCATGTTTTTCCAAAATAAAGTTGGGAAATATGTTTTAAAAATTGATGTCCAAATACATTTTCATCGTGAAACCAAACTTCACCCAAATCAGATTTTGAAAACTAATTTGAAAATCTATAGCCAAACGCTAGCTTACACGTAGCAATTAGCTAGTAAGACCATTTAAATCCTACGCCAGTACCCCAAATCAATCCTATTAGAAAAAGCTGTAACTAGAAACTTTACACTTTTTGAGAAACGTAGTCTTGTCGGGAAGCCAATCTAATAGTAACACAATCTCATAAAACACATAAATAAATTTAAAAGAATTGTGAAACGAACAGATTTTACTGATGTTGAGAACGAGGTTGCCTGCGAAAAGGTACGTCCTTCTTAATCACCACAACGTCTTTACCATCTTCCTCTTTTACATTTTCCACCTTACTCTCTGTTTTCTTTTTTGACACTCGAAATGCACTCTTCAATCCATTCATAAACCTTCGACTAAAGTTACTCTTTTCCGCTTTCATACTTTCCTCGTACGACACTTCTGATGAATTAGACGACCCAAGTATTACTCCTCTTTCTCTACCTGTAAGAATCCGAAAGCTCGCTGAGGAAACTGATCCAATTTGTCCTCTATCAATCTTATTCTCAGAACTCAATCGAAAACTAGCAGACCGAGCAGAATCATGCGTCAAATTACTCTTCGTGTTTTGATCTGATTCTTTAAGAAGCTTCCTCATACCACTCAACTCATTCTCCAAGCTCTGAATTCGCGAGCTCGTGGCATTCATCGCTGCCTTGAGCTGCGCCACTTGACGTAGTGCTGCATCTCGTTCGAGAATTGTACCTAAACTGACTTCGTTTTTGTTTTGGCGATGATTAATGTGATGATGGTGGTGGTTGTCGGCCGCAGTGGCGGTGAGGATAGAGCGACGTGTGTTTAATTGTTCCACAAACATGGCTTGGACCACAAACCTTAATGGCATTCTTGAGTTTTGGACCGCATGCATGAGAAGTTGAGGCGAGAGGATGGTACAGTCGATGTAATTGCACATTGCTATTTTTTCTTCATCTGATATCTTGCCCTTGTATTCCTGTTGAAATAAACAGATTCAAAAGATTAAAGGACAAAACAAATGGTAGGAAATTATTATTTAGACCCAAATTTTGAAACATTTTTATTGAATTTAAAGTTTAATTTTATCATTGATCCATGTGACTTGACGGTTTCCACGCCCATGATTATTGTAGACAAGTTCATTGATTTTTAATTGAGTCAGTAAATATTTTCTATATTGTGTGAATAAAATTTAAAACTAAGTTATGTAAAAATATTGAAACTATGTACGTGCGACGTCAAGGGAAAGATTTATTCCTTATTCTGGATCTGGATCAAGTTAATTAGTTGTGTGGCCTTAAAATTTTCTATGGTACACTCTAATACTGTCGTTATCTTTGAAGCAAATTTGTCATTTAATTTTGTAGTAGAATAGAACCTTTTTTTTTTTTTATTTGCACCGGGTTTCCGAGTCTCTAAGAGCCCCGACTAATTCCGGGGGTGCACAGGACCTCGGCAAGGAGTTTCCCGCAAGTGTACCACGGTTAATTCAGGTTTTACCCAGTCCGATGGCCCTCAGAAATTGTTTGCACCCAGTGGGTTTCGAACTTGAGACCTTGAAAGGGGGAAAACCCAAGGCTCAAGTCTATTGCCACCCGGCCATACTAACATTGTACACATTATCATATTACCTAAAACGTAGTCCCTCCGATCCACAATAAGTGAATTGCTTTGGGCACACCCATTAAGGAAATATTAAATTTTAGACAAAAATAGTTAGTGTGACTAAACTACCCTTAATTAAATATTGCAGCATAATTTAATATGAGAAGTAAAAGACTTTTTAGTGATACGTATATAAGGATAATTTTGAAAAAATAAATTAAATATTTTCTTGATTATATAAATGGATACTTATTTTGGACCAAAATAAAAAAAGCAAATTGGTCACTTATTGTGGATAGGAGGAAATAACATGCAACTGTTCATGTGGATATAATTGCCTGAAAAAATAAGAGACTACTTGGTACGACAATTTTTTTACATTGCTAGTATAAAAATTATTATACATGTTTCGTGTAGGTACTTTAAAACCAATTTCATACCGATTCCGCTCATTCTTTATACAGTGAGTCTACCAAACGATAAATTTTAAAGATATTTCTATCTTGAAATTTTGCAATTTTTACAAAGATCTTTCGCTAAAAATAGCCTCAGATATGGCCAATCAAAAAAAAAAGAAAAAACTTCAGTAAATAAAGCAAGTAAAGTATATAGCCAACTTACCTTAAGATAAAGGTCAACAACTCTATAGAGCTGGTCATGGCTTCCGCTCAACCACCGATTCATTGACTGAACGATTAATTGAAAATCCACGGGTCGCAACTCTTTAACGTCGTTGAGGCACCTCATAACGCCGTTACCATCGTCCACCAAACTCAACGCTTCAATACATCGACTCAACACTGACGACGTGGTTTCAGACTCCGGCAGCAGCGAAACGCAAGAACGCAACACAATTGATGCATACTCTCGGTTAACGGCAATTACACGGCGGAAATATGCTTCCGTTTTCTGTGCCAAGTTCTCGCCTCCCGCCATGTTATTAGCCTCCGTCATTTCTAGCAACTCCGCCGCCGTACGAAGAGCGGCGACGTTAAACGGCGTTATGACGATGTGCGCATCGTAACAAAACTCGGCGATTAAAGAAAATGTTTCTGCCGTTATCTTTAACGGCGGAGAGAGGGTTAATTCGGATTGGCCCTTCAGGTACCTTTTCAGAAATCCACTCCTTGCTGTCAACGGATCCTAAGGTAAATTTTAGGAAATTAGTAAATGCCCCCAACTTTTGCATTAATTGCGAAAAGTACACTTCAGTTTGTAGGCACAGCTCTCAAGTACATACCCAAAAATAATAAAAGCAATTTATAGTCTTTTATTTATGTACCGGTTTTTTTTCCAAAACGTATAAGTTGAATTAGATGGATTGCAAATTATAATATGTGCATTACACTTATTCTATTTATCTTGAAATAAACAATATTCCAAACCTTAGGAAACATGAAAAGAAAAAAGAAGTGCTGCTAATTAATGGCGAACACTTATGAGTAGCCCAAAAAACTAAAAAGTAGTACAATTATCATCCCTCTCACCGCATTTATCAATTTCGTTGTTAATATATTAGTAGTATAATACTATAATTTTTGCATTCTGACTTTCTCAAAACAAAAAAAAAGGGGGGGAATTCTAGAGATATGCTATTAAGAAATGCGCCACATTTGGATTATTACTATTAGAACTTTAAGTATAGATATTAGAGATGTGTGTTGAAACAATTTAACTTAAGATTACGGTAAGATACGAACAAATAAACAAATTATTGTGTCATCAGCTATAATTTATGCCTGTTCAGATTGATAGCGATGTAGCAACAACATAGCAATAAGTCAATTTTATATCCAGCAATTCATGGCGACAGTCTCTCCTGTTATTCATAATTCAAGATTGGAAAAACGTTTTATAATTTGCAGCTACACATATAGACAAAAGACAAGAAGCACATATCAATCACAAGTAAAATAAAAGAAAAATTGTCGAAGAAACAAAAGAGGACCAAAAAAAAAAAAAGACCACAGATTTCGTACAAAGCTCCTTTCTGATTCTCTTTTCCCATGGGAAAACGAAAAAGAAAAAGAAAAAGAAAAAGAAGAGAGGTGAATAGTGAATATATTTGGAGCATGAAAGTACCTTGTGTAGGCGAAAAAGTGACTCTTCAACATGTATAACTACATCAGTGTCATTTCCTGTAACTTGGGACCTTAAATAACAATTTCAAAGAAAAAAAAATTATAGAAAAAAAAATCAGAGAGTAAATCATAGCCCTTGAACGTAAACTGAGTAGGAATTTAGCAGTAAATTGTATACACCTCCAACCCCCGAGGATGATAATTACAACTAATCGTCAATAAAAAGTGACATTAGTAACTTGAAAAATCATAGTAGTAAGTTATTTAACAATTCTTGCATATTATGAGTGTATATAAGTTAAATTCTTACCAGGAGACAACCCGAGAGCGGGGAGGTGAAGGAGATGGGGAGATTTCTGGGGAGACAGAAAGGGAAGTGGAGGAATCTTCAACATCATCTTCATAGATAGTATTCACAACCCCTAAATCTGCCCAACGTCCTCTGATGGCTTCCATGGCCATGGCCTTCAATTTTCACCTTACAGTAGAAATCACTGCTGCTTCTGCCGAAACGTTACGTTGGTTTTTGTTTAAATTATTAGGGTAGTGGAGAAACCAAAGGAAGGGGGTGAAAGAAAGAATTATTCCCCTGCTGGTAATTATGTAGTTGGGGGCATTAAATGGTAACAGGTAAGGTAATAAATGCCTTTGCCTTAATACCCTTTTGGTTGGAAATTCAAAAAAACTTGCTTTCTTTGATGATTCTCTTCCTAAACCAGACTTTGAAATATGATTTGCTTTCTCTTGTAATCTCAACTTTCCTTAGAAATCCATGAAGGTGCATATGATGTGTAGTCCAAATGGCTGGAAATTTCATTGGACGGAAGACAAACAACTATTTTACTAAAAATAGAATGAAATCATGATGTTTTGTTTTACGGTTAGAAAAGAGAACGATGTATTACCAAATGGCAATGAAAAGAGAATGGCATGTAGTAGACTATATACAACTTACACAAATTCAGAACGTAAAAAAGAGAAAGCTATTGAAGTTGGGAAGAAGCCATCGCTTTCGGGAGCGGTGCATGTAGTTGTGCCAAATCAAACTAAATAGGAGACTCATTCAAAGGGGTGTAAATTGAGTAATTATTATTATTATTGTTATGGAATTATCATAATTCTTTTTGTTTATATTTGCATTAATGTATCAAGGGTTGCTACGTTGGTTGACAACTAGCAATATTGTCATTTGTGATTCATTCCCCAAAACAATATATAAATAGAGCAATGATTAGTTTTTATATTTGTTTGACGGTCAAAGAATATTTTAGGTAGTCTAAGTAGGGATTTTATAGGATAAGTATGATCAATATTTTATAAGACGCTGAAAAATATAACTGAAGAAATTATTACTAGCATTTATAGTCATTAGTTTCTTTGTTGGTCAATGAGATTTTTAAGTAGCTTTAATAAGGTTTTGGTAAGAAAGTATTGCATTGAATTGGGAAAAAAAAAAATTGTAAAAATTGCATTGGGCGCCCTATTTGGTCGCCTCTTTTTAACCTGTAGCCGCTTTGTTTTTCTGTTTGCACATGTACCCGTTTTTTTGTTAAAAGCCTTTTAAAATGACTATTTTGCCCTTCTTTATTAAAAGACTACTTTCCCTCCAAGTATACGTCAGTCCTCTACTATCTCTGTCTCTCTCTCCCGTTCTTCGCGTTTTTGATTTGTTCTTCTCTGAAATCAAACGGTTTTCGTCATTCTTTTTGATTTTTCAACTGTTTGTTCCCCAATAACATTACGTATAATCACAGGAACATTGCATTAACTTTCTAGGTTTTATTTTAGTATTAATTTTTATGATTTAATTTCTGGTTTTGGTTTTGATAGTCATGCTAATTGAATGGTTTCCCTTTTTTTATTTATGATAAAATAGTTTCCTAGGGTTTAGTTTGATTAGTGCATTAGTTTTACTTTTACGATTGTGTTTTTAGGTTTTTTGAACGTGTGTTTGTGTTTTTGATGAAAATTCTATAAATTCTTCAGTGATTTTTGGAGATGTCGAAATTTTTAAAAATTTTGAGAGTTAAATAGATGATACTATTAAAGTGTAATGTTTATAATACTTCAAGTATACCTTAGTTTTAGGAGGTGAAGTTTTGTTTCGTGTTTTGTATTTTTTGTTATATCTTTTATGAACTTCAGCATTATTTTAGAGTTGAATTTGTGTTTTATTTTTGTAAAAACTACAGCATGTTTTTGCTGAAGTTTTTGTTTTATAACTGGTGAGCTTCATCATTCTAGGAGCTGACGTTTTGTTTTGTATTTGTTGAACTTCAGCATTTAGGAGCTGAAGTTTTTGTTTTATATTTGCTGAACTTCAGCCTTCTTAATTAGACTGAAGTTTTAACTGATTTTTTTGATAATGTTCTGACATTATTTTTCCTATCTTTTACTTTTTTTTTGAACAGATGGCATCTACGAAATCCAAATCACCTGCAAATTCTAAAGCACCAAAAAAACGTAGAATATGCACAGGTCCTCCAGTCCTTGTTGCTCCACCCACAAAACCAGGGGATAGATGCTATGAGTTTCGAGATTGGTTTAAATGTCGTGCTTACTGGAAGGGGAACCACGATTTGAAGAGTTTAATTGCAACTTTCTTGACTCCTGCACAACAGGATAAGCTTAATAATGATACATTTCGGTATATTATGGCTATGGAGAATTTTAAATGCAGCATGAAATTGGTTCATTGTTTGTGTCTTTCTCGAATATTCACCAATGATCGAGACTCCATTAGTTTCAAGATTTTTGGCCATGATGTATCGTTCACCCTTGAAGACTTTCACATTATGTGCGGTTTGCGGATCACAGCACATAACGTTGAAAAACCAATTAAACGAGAGAGCAAGATTCTGAAGCGCTATTTTGGGAAGTCTAAGTGTGCGATCTTGAAGGACATTCGAGATTTTATGTCCCAGAATGAAATTCAAAAGGATGATGTGAATTTCAAACACGTATGCGAGAGTGATGAAGATGCTGTGAAGCTTATGGAAATTCTTGTTGTGGAGTCTATTTTGTTTGGAAAAAAGAATGAATCAACTGTGTTGGAGGAGTATGCAGCTATTGCTGAAGATGATAAGGCTTGTGCTGAATATCCTTGGGGTAATGTGTCTTATGAGAAGCTCATTATCTCAATGAAACATGCACTGGACAACCAGGACAAATATCATTCAACTGAGTTACTGGTGGTGGATTTCCATTTCCGTTATGTGCTTGGTTCTATGAGCGCTTCCCAGATATTCGGGAGAAGTATTTAAGAGAGGACGAGTACCTTGATGCCCCTCAGGTTCCCAGGATGTTACGTTATATATGTGAGGGAGAGCCTAAATATAGAGAACTTCATGAGGATTACTTCAGTAATCATAGTGTAAGTTAATTTTTTTTATTTTTGAAGTTGTGTTAATATGTTGACGTATTAGTTTTATTTTATTTTGATAATATACTTTTTTGTATTAAATAGAAATATCGAACGTTTAGGGTATTGGATATAATTCCTACAGAAGAGGAATTGAATTCAATGCCTTTAATTAGACAATTACCATGCAGCCGGATTCGTTCAAAGGTACTTAATGCGGTTCCTTCAACTGGTGAATCACCACGTAGTCGGAGTCGATCAAAAGAAGCCAATCGAACTCCTGTAATTGGCGAATCACCTCGTATCCAGAGTCGTTCTAACCGTTCTACAACGGCGTTTGACAATGAATTAGTCAACGGAATATGTTCTGTAAGTTTTGAGCTGAAGTTTTTTGGTTTTGTGTTTTTGTAAAACTAGAGCATGTTTTAGCTGAAGTTTTGTTCTATTTGTGATGAACTTCAGCATTCTAGTAGCTGAAGTTGTGTTCTGTATTTGTTGAACTTCAATATTCTTTTATATCTGAAGTTTTGTTATGTGTCTCTATACTAGAGGGTAACGATGGAGGTGAAAAGGCATGTAGAAGAAGAAAGACGCATGATCGCGAAAGAAGTTGCCGAGCAGTTTCAACCGGATGAGCGATCTGCTATTGTGGATGCGGTTTTTATAAAAGTCAAGGTAAGCTAATTTATAGAGAAGTCTTTTTTTCTGAAGTTTTTACAAATGAACTAAACAACTACAGCATCTGCTGCTGAAGTTTTGGTTAAAACTTCTGCTTTTTAGGCTGAAGTTTTGGTTAAAAGTCGTAACAAAAGTGTCAACTGTAGGACAAAAACTTCAGCTTATTTAGTGCTGAAGTTTTTACAAATGAACTAAATAACTGCAGCATCTTCTGCTGAAGTTTTTGGAAAAGCTTTATGACAAAACTAATGAGTCCAGGACAAAAACTTCAGCTTATTTAGTACTGAAGTTTTTAGAAATGAACTAAATAACTTCAGCATCTTCTGCTGAAGTTTTTGAAAAAGCTTTACGACAAAACTATTGAATCCATAATAAATCTTCAGCATATTTATTGCTGAAGTATTAGCAAATGAACTTAAAACTTCAGCATCTTCTGCTGAAGTTTTTGAAAAAGCTTTACGACAAAACTATTGTATCCAGGACAAAACTTCACCAAAATAACGTTATGAACATCGAATTAAACCTCAAGATCAATGAAATTTCTCAAAACTTCTTAAACATCAAATTTTGCATTTAAGGTTCGAATCACGTCAAATGTATTCCGTTTCTTACCAAACTTTACCGACAACACATATAAATCATATTGAACCTGTACCGTGCTCCTAAACCATAATACGGGCCCGATACCACAGGTTTCACATAACATTTCACTTTCAAAAATCCTTTATATTTTTCAGAAAATAATTTCTTTCAAAAATTCATTTCTCAGGTTTGGGACCTCGGAATTTGATTTTGGGCATACGCTCAAGTCCCATATTTTCCTACGGACCCTCCGGGATCGTCAAATCACGGGTCCGGGTCCGTTTACCTAAAATGTTGACTGAAGTCAACTTAATTCACTTTAAATCCAAATTTTATCATTTTTCACAGATTTTCACATCTAGACTTTTCGGCTACGCGCCCGGATTGCGCACGCAAATAAAGGTGATGCTGTCATCACATTCTCCACCTCAAAAACAACCGTTCGTCCTCGAACGGACATAAGAAGGAAGTACCTGAGTCGGGGAAGAGATGGGGATAACGGCTCCGCATATCTGACTCGGATTTCCAGGTCGATGCCTCAGCGGGCTGACCTCTCCACTAAACACGAACAGAAGAAAAACTCTTTGATCTCAACTGACGAACCTGTCGGTCTAGAATAGCTACCGGCTCCTCCTCATAGGACAAGTCCTTGTCCGACTGGACAGTGCTGAAATCTAACACGTGGGATGGATCACCATGATACTTCCGAAGCATGGACACGTGAAACACTGGATGCACGGCTGATAAGCTCGGCGGCAATGCAAGTCTATAAGCCACCTCTCTCACTCAATCAAGAATCTCAAACGGGCCAATGAACCTAGGGCTAAGCTTGCCCTTCTTCCCGAATTTCATCACGCCCTTCATAGGCGACACTCGAAGCAATACCCGCTCGCCGACCATGAAAGCCAAATCTCTAACCTTGCGGTCGGCATAGCTCTTTTGCCTGGACTAAGCTGTACGAAGCCTGTCCTGAATGATCCTGACCTTGTCCAAGGCATCTTGTACTAGATCCGTGCCCAACAACCGAGCGTCTCCCGGCTTAAACCATCCAACCGGCGACCGACACCGCCTACCATATAGAGCCTCATAAGGAGCCATCTGAATACTCGACTAGTAGCTGTTATTGTAGGCAAACTTTGCTAGGGGCAAGAACTTATCCCACGAGCCTCCAAAGTCGATAACACAAGCTCGGAGCATATCCTCCAAAATCTGAATAGTCCGCTCGGACTGCTCGTCCGTCTGAGGATGAAACGCTATGCTTAACTCAACCCGCGTGCCCAACTCTCACTAGACTGCTTTCCAGAAATGTGAGGTAAACTGCGTACCTCGATCCGAAATGATAGAAACGGTGCAGCACGGAGATGCCAAGCAGGTCACACTAGGAGATGATGGAGTTTTGAGAATGCAAGGTCGTATTTGTGTGCCTAATGCGGATGGACTTAGGGAGTTGATTCTAGAGGAGGCCCATAGTTCTCAGTACTCTATTCATCCGGGCGCCTCCAAGATGTATCAGGACTTACGGCAGCATTACTGGTGGAGGAGAATGAAGAAGGACATTGTTGCGTATGTGGCTCGGTGTTTGAATTGTCAGCAGGTTAAGTACGAGCATCAGAGGCCTGGCGGTGTGTTCCAGAAGATTGAGATTCCTGAGAACAACTCTTCTTCTAAATCGATTGTAAGTCAATTTTTACTAGTTTCCTTCAATCATTAACATCTTTTAACATGATTTCAACTCAAAATCAATGATTTTTATGGGGGAAATTGAGTGTTTTGGGTAGAACCTAGGTTTTTCAAAAAAAAAGGGATTTGGACCTCGATTTGAGGTCCGATTTCAAAACAAACTATATATTTGAGTTCATGGGTGAACGGGTAGTCGGGTTTTGGTTCGAACCTCGGGTTTTGACCATGTGGGCCCGGGGCTGATTTTTGACTTTTTGGGAAAAGCTTTAGAAAACTTATTTCCATGCATTAGAAATTGTTTATTTAGCATTCATTGATGTAATTAAGTAACTTGTGACTAGATACGAGCGAATTGGTGGTGGAATCACGAGGTAAAGCTATAGTTGAGGCTTGAACTGTGTTCGTGGCATCGAGATAAGTATTTGGTCTAACCTTAGCTTGAGGGAATAGGAGGTTGGTCTGTATGTTATATGTTATGTGTTGAGTACAACGTATAGGTGTGGTCATGAGTATCTATACGTCGGTGTCGAGCATGACCGTGAGTCTTAAATTGAAATTATTGTGTTATTGAGGACTACTATGAATGCCTAATTTGTGACTCTCTAGGTTGAGCAAGGTTTATAAATATTCTCGTAGAGATTACTTATGGTTGAACATTGGTGTTAGTTGAGGTAGTGGATGTTGGAACAATTTTGATTATAGCTGATTTTCCCTTGCCGGGATGTGTTCATTCTGATTGTTGACTCCCTTGCCGGTATAGTGTAGTTCTTATTGACCCCTTGCCGGGACTCTTGTTATGGTTGTTGTGATTGTATATTTGGATCGGGTTACACGCTGCAACAATGATATATTAGGATCGGGTTGCACGCCGCAACAATGATATGATTGGATCGGGTTGCGCGCCGCAACAATTGTTGATACAAAGTGTTTATGGATTGGATACAAGTTCCTTATTGTTTCGCTGTGAATTCTAAGTTGTCCTTATGCTTTTGTTCTCGATTTACTGTTGATACTGATATACCCCGCAGCATGTACCCCTCCCATTTTTATTTGTTTATTTCTATTTTATTTTCCGCTGCATATTATATAACTGCACAGGTTTATCTGTAGTCTGGTCCTAGCCTCGTCACTACTTCGCCGAGGTTAGGCTAGGCACTTACCAGCGCATGGGGTCGGTTGTGCTGATACTACACTCTGCACTATTTTGTGCAGATCCCAGTGCTGCAGATTTCGGACCGCAATGAGGTTTCAGCTTTCTACTTACCAGGCGACCCGAGGTAGTCCTGCAGGCGTCCGCAGGTCTTGGCGTCTCCCTCCATCTATTTTCCTGCTTCTCTTATATAGTTCTAGAGACAGTATTTTGTTATTTCTTTTAGACCCTTATTTATAGTACTCTTAGACAGTTTGTGAAGTTGTGACACCAAATCTTGGGTAGTTTCGTTATGGGATGGTATTAGTAGTACTGTTAAACTTGAAACTTATTTCTTTCGCATGTTAAATTATGCTGCTATAAATTGTTGATGCTAAGTCATTAAATAAAATGAAAATGGAAAACAGGTTAAATAGTTCAGTTAGTTGGCTTGGCTAGCTTTCACTTCTAGGCGCCATCACGACTCCCGAGGGTGGGAAACCGGGTCGTGACAGAACTAAAAGCCTTCAGCATATTCTGCTGAAGTTTTAGCAAATGAACTAAATAAATTCAGCATGTTTCAGCATGAAGCTTTAGAGTGCATTAATTGTATAGTGTACAGGAGTAAACGTAACAAACACAATTAATGTAGTAATTATTTTTGCATTGGGGAATGTGTTAGTGTAATAATTACATTCCTGTCACATTCATGCACGTTTTTCATTGGACGTTTAAAATTCCTCTATGCCTTTCATACACCATGCAGAAGTTTTTTTCGCCTATATAAGTATGCTATCCTTGTGAGTTTATTCACTCAAACACATATATTTTAGGAGATAAAATACAAAAGGGAGAAAAATGGATGCTGTCATCAGGCAATTCATTGACGAAATTAAGCAAGATATCATAGAGGCATTCGAGGTGAAACTGGATGAGCTGATAGACAAGTACAATAGGGAGCTGGAAGAATCAACACCAAGCT